GAGAATCGAAAAAAGCAGTTGAAGAACCGTATGAAGGAAAAGGCCTGTCAGCAGATGAGTTTTACTGACTAGTTTTAAAAGGTATCATCTCCCAACGGCTTGTCGGTTTTACTCACTAGAAGAAAGAAAGGAAATATCATGCTGCCTGTGTGCTTGTTGTCTGCTTTTTGACCCACGTTGTCAACTTAACGGCAAGGTTGTTGAAGACGAAGAGTCTAAAACCCTCTGCGATTTTTGGTCGAGGACTTCTTCTTGCTGGCTATAAAACCGCCAGGAACTTACTTTAATAATTAATTACTGCCTTCTTGCAGATCTTCGAAGTTCAGCTCTCTTCTTTTCCCCCACTACCAGCGATCTTTTGCCACGGCGCTCCGCTGGATCCAATTCGTCCCCCGGATAGAAATTCAAAGAGTGACGGCAAAGTGTTTTAATTTTCTCAGACAAACATTGCATTGAAAGTTGCGAAGAGCCGCTACATTTCTTATCAAATACTTTTCCAGCCCGATTCCTTCAGCAACAACTTGAATAGATTTAGGCTAGATTTATGTAACTCGGCACGCGTCATTGCAACTTTCAAGGAAGATTCCTTCAATGGACCACCGCATTGGAACTTTTTTATATAGTACCTTCACTTTAGATTTCTTGTTGTAGGAAAACAGAAGAAAAACAGTGCGAGAAATACGACTAGAATACGTGAATCGCGGCCAGACTTATTTGACAGCCAGTCATTCACATTTGTCTTATTTTTGTTATTTTTTTAATAAGTAGGCGGGATGGGAAAAATAATGGCTTCCTTCTAGGCGTTCCCCTCCTCCCTCCTCCCTTGCGCGCGGTCTCGCACCCTAATTCCCTTCCTCTTCCCTTTCGAATACTCAATACTCAATGCCTTAATCCAATAGTAATCTTAAATAGATAGGCCAACCAAATGTTAAAGTTCGCAAAGAATGCTTTGCTGCTCAAGTTATTTTTTGTGAGTGTTGTTTGTGACAATCGTTTTTTTTTTTTTTTAGCTCCAGGTGTTAACGTGCAGTGTAAGAGTGAAAACATGACCATCATCATCCCCAAGTCACTTCTCTTTGGTATTGACCGTGAACACCTTCGACTCCTGGACACTAGTTGCAAAGCTGCAGAGAATAACACCCACTTTTCACTCACAACACCGCTGACTGGCTGTAACACAACAAGCAGGCACACACCCACAGCTATCGTCTACTCCAACGCAGTCTTAGACATGCCCGTAGCTGTTAAAAATGTGGTGACACGTGTTCGTAAATTAGAAATACAATTCAGCTGTTTTTACAGCAAGCATGGCGTGGTATCTTCAGTTGTTTGGAAAGCAAGTAACAGAAAGCTTGTGTTTAGCAATGAAGGAGAAGGGAATCTGACACTCTCACTTGAGATGTTTCATAACAAAACATTCGTGAGTCCTTACACGAAGAGGGACTTCCCTGTGGCAGTTATACTTCGCAATCCCCTCTTTTTTGAAGTGTCTGTCATATCAGATGACAAGCAGCTGTCAATCAGAGCAGATCGCTGTTATGCCACACCCACTCAGGATCGTATGAACCCTCTGAAGTATGAGTTCATTAAACAAGGGTACGATAAAAAAAATACATTATAGTACAATGACATTTTTTAAAATCTCTGTTTCTGGGATCGTTAGTGGGGACGCACATGTCAGCTGTTGGCCATTTTGCCCTGTACCTAGTAAAAGTTCCAGAAGTCTTTGCGAAACTTATATGGCCCAGTTTCCTTCCGGTTTTCAAAGTAGCGAATTCTTGCCGAAGAAAAGCAATGTCATCCTCGCGTTTATTAGGGGGAGGGGTCAGTGGGGTTTGGTGAGTTCTGCAAGTTTTTAAACTGACTCACCGGCGTAAAATTCGTTATGTAGTCGGCCACTAATGTATGGCATGCACTTAATTTAAATGATTAAGATTAAAGCAATTAATTAAACCGATATAGACACAGCATCTAAATTTTTTTTTATTTGTACTTAATTTTTAACTCAGTTATAAAGGTAGTTCTACCTTTGTTTGATTTCATTTCTCTTAGATGCCCAAGTGATGCAACATTACAGTACTATTCTGCGCCCTTAGCTGGTGTTCAGCGGTTTAGCCTGGAAGCCTTCAAGTTTATTGCAGATCATCCATTTGTTTTTCTTCACTGTCACGTGATCCTTTGCAATGCCTCTGACCCAGGCTCCATATGCAATAAAAGCTGTTCAGCAAAAGGCGGCAGACGAAGACGTGAAGTTAGTCCCCAAGAAAATGACGCCTACACTTTGGGCGAAGGCCCAATCTACCTGGCTCGCGAAAAAGAAGAGGAAATACAATCTAGTGGTCTGGGTATGAGGGGTATGTATCAGTGGGCATGTAGCATAAAATTTATAAGATGACTGAAATAATTAGCATTTGGTTCCAGTTTAAAAGAACCGTGTTAAAATGGACTATACGCGATGATGATGCTGATACTTCTGATTCAATATTGCGAAAAACTTTATTACCAAAGTTAAAGTAAAGGACAGATTATCTTATAACGTCTGGCTGCATCTAGTACACAATACCCCGCCTTCCTTTTTGTCTTCAAACGAAGCTTCCGTGGCACCTTCCGAATATGTAGCCATCCTAATTTCACCAAATAAACTAGGCTCTAATTCTTTCACTTTGTAGCCTTCATGTTATTCGAATCTTCATCTTTTACACACTGTCTGATTCTACAATTAGTTCTGATCATTTCTACATCTGATTGCAAACTTATCGAGCCTTGCACCTAAATTACGTAATTGAGCATGAAAAATATTTCGCAACAACGACTCAAACACCCTGAAATAGGTATTAAGAAGTGTGTCCCGTTTCTTTATTCTTGACCATTGTGTTGATTCTAAAGCTAAATTTCATCTTTCTAGGTTCCAGTCCCGCCATAATAATGGCTGTACTTGTGACAAGTATCGCCTTTCGGTGGGTACACCGCTGGTAACCCTTAAGAAGTCACCTGACAGGGCTATGGTAATATCAAGTTACTACAAAAGATAAAAGCATGCTTATTCACGTTAACTTGATGTGACACATTTAAAGGGTACCTTAGATTAGGGATATTCAAACTGATGAGCTTAGTTGATTCGTATTCATTGATCAACGGCTTTTTGCTTTCAACGCCTAGAAAATCTCTTTATAAAGTAGAAAGACAACCCAAACTTTTTACCTAGCCGAATTCCTTTATATTTCTAAAACATTATAAAAGCTATAAAAGCTATTAATCTTTAAGGCCTAGGCCAAACGTCGCACTTCTCATGAGACAAACCAAACTAAGTGAGTTAAGTTCGACGTCTGGCTCAGTTAAGTTCGTCTGAATGAGTTTGGATCGTCCAAGACGTTCTATCAGTCCTCTATCAGTCCCTTCCAGACGGATAGAACGTCTGACGATCGTTTCCGGGACAAACGTCAATCTTCACATGCGAAAACGAGTTGAAAAGCGTTGTTGCGCGTTTTCAAACCCTGTAAACAACCTGATTTGTTGCAAGACAGGTTTGATGTGAGTGGTAAAACGCGCAACATTGTTATTCAACTCTTTTTGTTGCAGGACAAGTTGCATGTTTGTTGTTGCCCGTTTTTACTTACCTTAAGAAATAGAAGACTTGTATGATGATGCATATTCAGGTTCCCATAGACAAAAAAGATTTGAATAATTTTGGGTGGAATTATTTGGCACTTTTCATTTAAATTATAGTTAGAAAGGGAACTTACTTGATTATAGACCTTTTAAGCTTGCGTGTTTCGTTTTCCTAAATAACTTCAGATAACACTATTTTCTCAAGGAAATTTGCCTTAAAGTCGTTTAATTTAATAAATTAGGCATCCAAATGCATGTGGATAGGACGACATTTGAAAGAATCAGTTCTCTGGGGTAACATCACGTGGTCTGAAATTGAAAAACAAAACATGCATGCTAAGAATTGCCCCATGTAAGGGATTCCGGAATCCGGGAAAGTTTTGCTTGTGGAATCTGAAATCTTGGGCTTTGGAATCCGGAATACAGATCAAGGAATCTGGAATCCAACTAACGATTGGAATCCCGAATCTAACTTCCACTGACAAAAAATCCGGAATCCGGTACCTGGAATCCTGAATTTCCATCTGCAAATCCAGAATCCAAGACTATCTTAGATTCCTTTACATTGGGCGATATTTAAAAAGGTCCATTGACCGTCATGTCTCCTCAAATGCTTGATGATTAAATTAAGATGAGCATATGATACAGAGTGGAAGTGGTTCTGTTGATAGAATAACCCATCTAAGGTGATACGTGTGAGGATGAACATAGAAATTAAAAAAGGAAGGCTTGTTACCTTTCATGTTTTCAGTGTGACATCGTTTATCATGATATTAATAAAGTTGCATTTGATAAAATAGAAACAACTGTCAAAGTGTCAAATTGCAAGACGAGCAAAAGGGTGCTGCGGACAGTCATACCTCTATTAAGTGGTCAAAGCCCCAGATCTCTGTTCCCTTATGTACTGCAAACCTGACCTGTATCAAGCAGTCACCTCTATCACCAGTCACAGTCACCTTTTCCAAGGTTCAAAGAGTTTTTCTTCTTTTTTTAATTTTATACACATCCATTTAATGGTCACTTTGACAAGCTGTATTATACTAGTGCGATAGACACATTGTACATTTGTATGGAGTTTAGTTGTCTTTTACTTGCTTTCTTTTGACACAAGAAAGGTGGAGATACTAACCAGCATAATAACGTACATTAATTTTAGAAAGAGATCGATCCAGACCCGCACAACCTTCCTGCCGTTCGTGACTTCAAGAACGTCTGCTGCTTTTAAGCTCTCCTCTGTGAAGTGACGTTAAACAACCGAGTTTGCAGATTGACAAGTAGATCCTCGTTTACTTATATTGAACAAGCCATTACAAAAACATAGCGATTGCTACGAAAAGGAATTTATTTCCTCTAACTACCTCGTCATGATCAAGTTCGTGCCATTAGAGGTCATTTTTTTAATATTTCAAAATACTAGGACCCTTATGGCCATGATCATGATATCGCTTTTGAAACACGTTAAATTACAAGACTTTGCAAGGAAATAAGCGCATAAAATGAGAGTAGGAGACACGAAAATAATTATCTTAATTTAATGAATGTTTTATTCATTTATTATTCAGTGTATTATTTATTCATTAAGTTTCAATTTTAGCCGGCAGTTAGTTGTATTCATAAAAATATACAACATCGTCTTAAGATGAAAGGATTTATAAGATGAGCGTTCCTGTTTACGGGTACGGGCGCACTCAAACGAAGAATACCTGAATACAGTGTATCTAAAGGTCGATTTCCGTGTGCGTGTACAGGTTATTTACTATAGTAATCGTACCTGGAAACGATATATCTCAAGGAGTCTTGTTTCCGTGTACGTGCACAGATAAATTACCTTTTGGTAAACCACCTCCTATATATATAGCCCGGAGCATAAAAATTGATGCCATTACCTTTTATACGATTGCGTGGAAAACGCATTTGTCTACCAGTACTCGTAGGTAGAAACGAGTTGTATTCCATTCGCTTGCGTTTTGAACGGATATGTTTTTGGTACCTTCCTTAGACCTGCAAAATGACATAACGTTGAAACATGTTAGACTTTCAATTACCTTAGCGTCAACCACATGAGATCGTGACGGGATATTAGACTGACATCTAGCCGGAACTAGTAATACGGGTAGTATAGCTATAACGGAAGAAAGTAGTTTTGCACCGATGAAGCACAGAATATGACCTTTGAAAACACAAAGGGGCTTAACTGCTTTCTACCAAGGATCTTACAATTGTCGTAGTCAAATGGCGTTTAAGGTTTCCATGAATAACATGTACCAAAGGATCCTTCTATTGGTGACATTTTCAATTACAATCGAAGGTAAGTTTTAGAGGAATTATGTACATTTCAGTGACAAAACGAAAAACATTAGTTGCAAGATCACAGTCACCGCGAGGTTATAAAAGGAATCAGATCACCATTAATCTTCTTGACTGTTTGAGTGCAAGCATCTGGAGTTCTAGTTGTTTGTTTCTACTTGACAAAAAAAAAAACGTCCACAACAAATGCCAAATCGGATGAAAAAATCTGCGAAAGACTAATTTAAGCTGTTTTGATTAACAAGCTAAAGAAAGTATCGCCATTAAACGAGTTAATAAGGCCTTTGAGTGCCCAGAGAGGTTTATATAGGAAATGAAAAAAACAACAACAACAACAGCTAAAAGCAAGCAAACAAACAAACATTTCGTAAAAATGCGTAATGCGTCATTGATGGGCCTTGATAATAAACATAACAGTTTTGCAAAAAGCTTGTCGTGCTGCACTTGGTCGAACGCTTATTAGAGAAAGGCTTTTAGTTTGATGGCGTTTGATCTTCCAATAAAAGGGTCATTATGTATGTCAGCTAGTATTTACAAGAGAGAAAATGCGGTACCTCCAAACTTTTATTACTACTATTATTGTTATTATTTTGTACCGTCCGTTGCTATACATTAATATTTTTTTCTGCGGACAAGGGTCGGTCGGAAAGATATAGCTCTGTTATTTTAACAGTGAAGTTTAGCTATACTTTTGTGAGAGCCGTGGATATCCACTAGGTCTGCTTTACTTGCAAATTGCTTTGGAGAAAACATTTTTCCAATGATTGTCTTGAGGAGCTTGTAGTGACTTAGAGCGGTCTTTTTGTTCAAAGTAAGCTGGTCCATGGTTTTTATTATAATTAAGAAATCTTATCGAGGCGCAATTTCTTGGGGAATTTATGTCTTCTTAACACTATAATGTCATTAAACCTTCAACTAATTATAACACTAATTAACACACTTGATCGATTTACTTATTTTATTTACTTACTTGCAAATTTTCTTTTCTGTTTGCTTAGTTTTGTCAAAAATTAAAATTAAATACAAATGTACAAGACTGTTGCATTAAATATTCATGTTTTAGCAAAGCAATCAAATCGTGAATACCTATGAATCCGTGATTTGTTTCTGCTATAGTTTTTTATTTAATTATTTGTTTATTACAGATTCACTCCACTACATTACAAGCAAATAATAATAATAATAATAATAATAATAATAATAATAAAGTTGTGGAGAAGGAGACAATCAAAAGCGCGAATGCGCCATACTAGGGATGCCCCCACTAATTAAAATATAAGAAAAATATATACAAATAGAAATATAAATGTTCTAGTTATCCTTAATAAAACTTAAAACATTTTTTTTAAAAGTTGCAATACTGTTTGATTCTCTAATATGATTGGGTAAACCATTCCATTCATTTACAATACGGTTAAAAAAACAATATTTAAAACCATCAGT